ACGGGGCTTTCGCGCGCTAATGCCACGCTGCTCGCTAATAACAAGCGAGCCGGGGAACCGATGAAAAACCGCGCGACCAGGCCAGTTAGCCGGCGCGCGGATCCGGCGCGGAGCCTGCCTCGACGTTCCGCTCGAGCCGGCGCTCGATCGTGTCCAATCGAACGATAAGTTAATCGATGACGGAAATCGGAGGCAGCCGCTTGAATTATCGCCCGCGTAATTTGGCCCCTTCTCGGTTACCTCCGCAATTACCCCGTATCTCTGATTCAACGATAGTTTCGAACTTACGAGGATGATGGTCGTGATCTGCGAGCAGATCCGCCACGTAAACTTCTCTCGTCAAGTTTTACGATGCTGTTCGCGATTAGGGAATTGCGTATTTTTATGCAGTTGGCGATGTGTGTCTCGCCGCGGCGATTAGTTAGATACCAGGGTTTCGTCTTCTCGTAGCTGAGCGAAATTTAATTGCTGATTTAAACGCTGATTTTATATCATATACTTCGGAATGTTTCAGTTTAATTGAATTTTATTATTTATTATTATTATTATTACTGATCTCTATCACGGCGGATGTGAGTGACATAAATTGATAGAATTTGAGGATTAAAGACGTAAAAATAAAAATATAATTTACTTACAATACTCCGAAATGTATAATACTTACACATTACTATATTTAATATTTAACAAATAAAATTCAAACCTGAGTTTTCATAAATCTCAGTAATCTGGCACTAGCAGACAACTCGTCTTTAATATTAATATTAAATTTATCATGAATATTAATTATTAGCCCTTTGCACTCCTTTGTCGAGCGTGACTCGACATCAATTTTTATCACAGGAACGCTCTTACGCTGAGTCACACTCGATACTTTTAAATTGCCAGTTAAATTGCTAAAAAGAAAAAGAAAAAAATAATTGAAAAATAATTCGGAGTGCAAAGGGTTAAAGTATTTAAAATACTTGAACGGCTATTCGTTGGCTGCAAAAAAAATCCAATCAGACGAGAAACGAAACGAAATTCCACCAGATTGGAAATTTCAGTCGCGAAACACTGGCCCTCTCTTCAACCACGATGATCGCCGCATTGAATCACGCTCAGAAACGACAAAGATGCGCAGCATTTCTTAGTCGCGAACCGTTAATTGGCCAACAGGATGCGGTGTTTATGACTGGACAGTGGTCGTAAAACGGTTGCTGATTATTATTAGATACAATCGCGTTCAGATCCTCCGATACCAACGTCTCGAACGATATTTATTACGGCCGCACCGTGGCAGATTCTCGCTCGATCCCGCCGCGTCTTCCTCCTTCGTCTTTTTCTCGCTGGCTGAAAACGCGAAACGAATCGCGGCGGGTGTCGGCCACGCTGGGCTCGTTTCGTTTCCTGTTGCCACTGCGTCTCGACGCTCTTGGAATCGATCGTAATAGGGCCTCTCGATCTTGTAATCGGATATCAGTGCCGCGACGAACAGCCAGCCCGATTTGCATCTCGGGCCGGTGCAGGCCGTGTAATAAGAGTGTATCGGTGCTCGTGTTCGATTGAAATTACAACGACCATGAATTTTAAGGGGGATTATTTTAATAACGTAACCGCATTTGCCATTGCTGAAATCGAGCGCCGGCGACGCTGGTAATTGCCCGACGAGCCCCCTGTGCGTTTTCGATTTTCTCTTGTCGCGACACCGTCCAACTTGTAAACAAATTACCGAATGACGTACTGGTACCACCATGTACCACCATCTTGCGATACAAGACATTACCTGAAAGAGAGTAAACAGTTAGCGAAGCTAGGATAGAACAAAGATTACGTAGCACAGTTTGAATTTACGTTCATTTCTGTATCACGTTGATTTTAGTAAAAAATTCTTCTAATTTCTAATTCTCTGTTATTATATGTTATTCTTGAATCGTAATTCCTAATCATCGCCACTCAACCCGAATGCCAAAAGTGTGCACCAAATGCCTGCCGGCTACAGTCGTTATAGAGCGTTAGGAGCGAAAGGATTAACAGTTATACCTGTGTCCGAAAAAAAAAA